GAGAGACGCATCCCCCAAACCCACACTCACATCTCTCGCGCGAGATGCGGCATCTCCCGCAGGAGATGTGGTGGCATCTCCAAAATCTTGGATATGTGACACTGCTGGACTCAGATGTACCTATCTACTGTAAAAATATGAGCCAAATTGGCGACAGCGATCGAGCAACATTCTGCTAGAAATGGTCGTGGCTTACGTGCAATACCTCCTAGATGGACAATTGGACGTATGACTCCTTGAGATTCTTTAATAATCGATTGTTTTTACTATACTTTTAACCAAACCTCTATGCATATATACGTCTCTGTTTTATCTGTGAAAACGACATACCCGTTCTTTTGTTTGGTTTAAAAAAAACAGTTGTCAAGTGCTGAACTACATAGCCTTCAATGACAAAGAACAATTTTATTTCTGTAAACATTAATTTCTGCATTTCTCAACATCTCATTTTTAGAATGTGACACACAAATTATCCATTGTAAAATGTTTTGCGTCACAACACCAATCGCAAACCGAATTTAAATTTATGGTATCAATGTCAGACCAGTTGAGTTCAATAAAGGTTCTGGATTGTGTAAATAGTGATACTGCTTTTGTATACAAAGTGGTGCCTGCTCTTGTACCAGTTATTTCCAATGTAATGTTATCATACCAAGCTGCGCATGAATAGAATGAATTTATTGTAAATGTGTCTGTAGCTGCACGTGTGATAGCCATAGGACTACCAAATCCATCAAAGGCAAGATATGGGGGACTGACAACACCCGTTTTATAGCCAGTGCCAGGATTACTATCGTTTAAACCATTCAAAACCAGAACATTTTCCCAATTCAAACCACCGTAGCCGTTTGGTACTGGGACTCCTGATGTGTTCGTTACATTTGTTATATCATCAAAAGTTATTAATGATGATGGTTCTGGACAGGCTAGAAATCAAAAACATCATACCACATACAGGGTGACTAATAAGTAACTTTACAATAAAACATTTTAATATTTCCACATTGTCTCAATCAAATGAGCTGATTTTTTGTCATTGTTACAAGTTTTTATTCGTAAGAAAAACAAGACAATCAGAATTTTTCTTTTGGAAATTTTCTGCAAAAGAACTTCTAGAAAATCCAATGACATCTTGCAGAGGTTAGAGAAGCTGGTGATACATCAGAAATTGCAATGAAATTTGAATAAAACCATGAAAGCCATCGAACTTTCGGTAACATGTTTGTTTATTAGTAGCAACTTGGAACAAACTATCATCAACAACAGAATTAGCCGATTCAATTTTTTTGATCAAAAAGTTATCTATCGGCTATCCTGTCTAGCATCAAATTCTATTTTTTAAGCGTGGTACAAAGAGAACACGCAAAAAATCACATGAATAAATAGCATCGAACTAAAGAAGATACATTGAAATTTCTGTTTAAAAATCTCATCAATATATTAAAAGCAGCTGCACCCGACGAAACCGTAACGGAAAAGATTCAATTCTGGTATTTACAGAAAAAAATGTCCGCATTAATACTAAGAAATAGACCTACTCGTTTGCTGGCTAATAACAGCCCAGGTCAATCCTCCTCAGTCGTACACGGCCGTGTACCAACCATATACGGCGAATAACGGCAACTGTTCGCGTTAGCCATTTACGGCAATCGTAAACGATGCTTTACGCTGTAATACGCTCATCGTAAACAATGATCGGTAAAAGTTGACGTTAACGACTAGCGTAAAAACCCACCGTTTACGGCCGCCGATAAATTACACCGGCTCTAAGCGATAATCCGGCCATTTCAACTGACCAATCAGATTTCGAGATGATATTTCTCAGCTATATAAAAGCTGGACACCAACACATATAATCCTCATTCAAAACAGCGTCCTCAATAACCCTAGGATCGGCCCGAACATGACTATGTGTTGCCCGTCTAATAAGAGAGACAGGCCCTCCTGAAATCTGATTGGTCCATTTTTCGACCAATCAAATGGCGAGATTCTCTTTCTCAGTGAAGAGCAAGGAGGAGACCCATACATATACCCCTCATTCGATAGGGCGTTCTCGATAACCCCAGGATCGGCCCGAACATGACTAAGTGTTGCCCGTCTAATAAGAGAGACAGGCCCTCCTGAAATCTGATTGGTACATTTTTCGACCAATCAGATTTGAGATAAAGTCACTATTCATTCACCGATTTGTTCTGTCCCACAGATGTGTATATATGTATCGGAAAGTCGTTGAGGTCATTATCACACCATCAACTTTGCCGTTAGGTAAGTACTTCCCATAATCCTTAGAGTCCTCGAGTCCTATTTTCAAAAAAAAATTTTTTTTTGAAAATAGGACTTGAGGGACCCTAGATAGACCCTCCTGAAAAAGGCGACCACGAGCTGGCTTGTTTTACCACGTTTCCGTGTCGTATACTGCAACCGTGTGTCGCCGTTTACGGCACGGCGATTTACGGCCGTAATATGGTGCATAGAAATACGGCGTAAATACGGCATCGTACACGGTCGTATCTAGGCGTCGTAATGCTTAATCTGGGATATATGTGGATCTTCTATTTCTGCGAAACGATCATATACGGCCGTGTACGATTATATTTCGATCGTATACGCTGACGTATACGCAAGGGGGAAAAAGCGGATTCCGTCTATCCCGGATACGGTCGGGATACACAGGATACGGTCGGGATACACAGGATACGGAGGATACATCGGGGATACGGAGGATACATCCGGGATACGGAGGATACAATGGGGATACATAGGATACCTCTGAGATTAAGAAGACACAGTTTGATACTAAGCAGAAAATTAATAAAATATGGGTTGTATATCATCGGATTAATAACTGATCA